CCCCAGTTAGCGGCGGAAACCCAGGACTCAGTCCCAACAGTTACTGGCACTTACTCTAGGCAGAGGCTGCCCAGCAAACGGGAAACGTTGTCAAATGCTCCACGGCTGTCCTGGAAAAGGGCTCACAGGCTGAAACTTCTGTTTTGGCAAAAACACACGCAGACCTTTTCAGTTCTTCGCCTCTTAAACGATCCTACATCCACGAGGCAGTAGGTGCAGCTGCCGAATAACCACCTGCCATCAACGTTCACGGTTCAAGGAGAAGGTGGAAGGTGCACGAAAGGAGAAGGTGGCAGGATTTCTGGAGCTCCGCGTATGATAGAAATTATACTGCTTTTTTAAAGGCGTGCGGGTCGTGCACTACACGGCTAAACAGCAGCCTCTTGCCATCCGGCTCCCCAGTCACAGAGACCGCGAGCCCCTTCTTGGGCTCAGCCACCCACTGTCTCGAGAAAACAGGCTTTCTCCCCGGTGAGGGTGGCTGTGATCTTCTGCCTCCCTGCTCTGTGTTGAAAGATGGTAGTAAGTTTACTTGGAAGACGCCGGCTGGTTCCCGTGTGCAAGGGGGCTGTTCAAACCGTGACCCAAACGGCGCCCGGTTGTCCCTGGGGCGTCACTGCAGCCGCGTGTAAATTTCGCGTTAGCATCTGGGTTCGCCTGACGCCGGCAGAGCTCTGAGCGGGCACGACTCCGCCCACCCTCCGCATGTCCAGCTTTAGACCCAGTGCCGGTCCCCTCTGTGCCTTGAAGTGATGCCTCTTGAGTCCGCTGCTCCTTGCCAGGGACCTTTGCGGTGTTGGCCCATCCCCGCTCTGATAGAGGAGTCTCTTCGAGCGCCCCACCCTTCCCACCTGCTAGCCACTGGGCCAATTTGGGGTGCGGGAGGGCATTTCTGGGATGGGAGAGACACCCGCAAAAGCAGGAAGGAGGAGAAGGACCAAGGCGAATTGACAGAGAGGAAGTCTGGCTGAGAGAGGGCGTTGAGTGTGCAAGCTGGTGACCCCACAAGGCCTGGAAGGCTGGCGGAGAAGTGTGTCGATGAGGTCACAGCTGGAAGCTATGCAGGGGGGAATGCAGGTGCATGGAGGGCAAGACACAGGGTAAGTGGGGGAGGGAGGAGTGGGAGAGGAAGGAGGAGGTAGAGGAGAGAGGAGGACAGGAAGGAGGGAAAGAAGGGAAGGAGGAGGAAGGAGAGGGAGGGAGGGGGAGGAAGAGGAGGGAGGAGGCAGGAGGAGGTGGAGAGGAAAAGGGAGGAGGAGGGCAGGAGAGGAAGAGGAGGGAGGGAGGAGGCAGGAGGAGGTGGTGGCCGCAGACACCGGGGGAGGACAGAATTTGGAGACAGGAGCCGGGTGCAGTCTAAATCGTGTGGCTCACCCTTGACCTGGGCAGTGGGGGCAAGGCATCGCTGTGACACTTCGGGCATCCTCACCTTGCCTTGGTAGAACATGCCTTGAAATGCCAGACGCTGACGGACAGCCTCAGCGAATCCCAGGATGGGAGAGGGCGCATAACTCAGGAGCAGAGCCAGATAACCGAGGGATGCCTGGAGGGGGAAGGGAACCTGCTAGCTCCCCGGGAGCCAGGCTTTGTTGTTATTAGAATGATCTCTGCTTGCGTGTGTTTGTTTTCAGCACTTTAGGAGTTGCGTGTGTATGTGCATACGGTGCAGGGGGGAGGTCGTGCAGCAGAAAGCAGAATGTGGCATTTAATATCTGAAGTCCGTACCCGTAAAGCTTAGGCTGGAGGCATTGGCGTTTCAGAGGCGCACACGGGGAGAGGGCTGGCTGTCAGCACCCCGGCACCTCAGTGAATCACTGGATCTCATCTCTCAACAGCTTCCCTTGTCTGTCTAGCAGGATGGTTATGGGACGATGACAGCGTGCCTGCTGCGGGCTGGGTGTGCTCAGACTCCCCGCGTCCCCGGCCGCTCTGACCTCTCACCCATTCCAATGGAGGAATCCCTTCCCCCACATTTTACAGAAAAGGGAACAGACGCCCAGAGAGGTGAGTGAATTGCCCTAAGTCACACAGCTCAGAGATCCATGGCCAAGCTCTCCATGCTCTTGCCTTTTTCACTATGTGTTCCTTCTGGCCGGCTTCGAAGGGGTCGAGAGAACACGTAAGGAAAAGCTGTGACAAGCTATAAAACCCTTACGTGAACCCACGCACACCCTGGGAGCAGCCAGGTATCCTCCGGTAGCTGAGGGGTGAATAAACTGTGGTCTGTGCAGATGATGGAATGATGTTCAGCACTAAAAAGAAAAGAGCTGCCCAGCCCTGAAACGATATGAAGGAACCTTAAGTGCGTATTACTGAGTGAAATCAGGCAATCTGGAAAGGCTACCGTCTACAGGATTCCAACTCTATGACATTGTGGAAAAGGCACAGCTATGGAGACAGTAAAATGTCAGGGGCCACCAAGGACGAGAGGGAGGGGGAACGAACAGGTGCCGCAGGGGATTTGGCGGGATGGGGGCAGTGAGACCATTCTGTACGATACCGCAATGGACGGGTCCACGTGTATACGTTTGTCCACACCCATGGAATGTCCACCAGCAAGAACACCCCCTAACGTCAACTGTGGACTCTGAGTGTGCCTTCAGTCGGGATGCTATGGCAAAATCACACAGGCTGGGCAGCTTAAACAAGCCTTTGTTTCTCACAGGTCTCGAGGCTGGCAAGTCCAAGATCAAGGGTCACAGCAGATGGGCGTCTGGTGAGAGCCCGCTTCCCGGTCCACGGATGCCCGTCTTCTTTCTGTGTCCTCCCACGGCAGAAGGGGGAAGGGAGCTCTCTGGAGCCCCCTATATAAGGGCCCTGACCCCACCAAGGAGGCTCTGTCTTCATGACCTGTCACCTCCCAAAGGCTCTGCCCACGAAAGCCATCACATGGGGCATCGGGCTTCAACATATGGGGTGGGGGAGGGTGGCACAGACATTCGGTCCATGGTGATAATGATGAGTCACAGGTGATGGTGATGAAGGCACTGCTGTGACGTGGGATGTTGATCCTGGTGGGGGGGCTGTGGAGGGAGGTGGGGAGTGTATGGGACGCTCTCTGTACCTTTGGCTCAATTGTGCTGTGAACCCAAAATGGCTCTATTAGGTCTATTTTTAAAAACTGTCAAGGGACCCAGGGGCAAGTGTACCTATATGATTGAGTCTGAAGCATTGGGTCAAAGTTCTAGAATACCTTTCCACAGGAAAGCCAGCCAGTTTCTTCTAAGGGGCGTCTCTTTCACAACTACCTGTTCGTTCAAGTGCCTGGGCTTTGGGGGCGCTTCTAATTTGGAAACATGGAACAAAGGAGCCAAGGGGAATGGCCTGGGGAGTGCCACCTGCTTTTGAAATTTCCAGGGAGGGAGTTTGTTCCCCGTGGCTTGCTCTGCCTGGGGGATGCTCCAGGCCTCCCTTCTGAGGGACTTGGGCTGTGGCTTAGCACCCTGGTCGCTGCTCTGAGCACAGTGAGTCTTGCACACATTTCTGCTGCTGGGGCCGGGTCAATTTGCATAAAATGTTCTCCACAGATCTATGGTGTTTTCCCGAAAGTGGGAAAAGACACCACTCTCCCTGAGAGATTCTATTTTATAACCTTCTGTACTTTATAACCTTTTGGGAGCCGGTAAGAGACACGGCCACCCCCACGCAGCACGAAGGGCTGCTGATGTCTTTGTGTATTAACGCCACAAATACCCCCTAGGAAGGCAGAGGTGTGGCCAGGAGCCGCAAGGTTTGTAGTTAGCACACTGGGGTCACGTCACGTGCTGCCTCTTCCCGGCTCCGCGACTCTGGGCCAGGCTCCCCAAAATCTCCAGTCTCTGTTTCCTCCCCTGTGGATGCCGCCTCGGCTGCCCACCGCTGCTGTGAGGACTGCATTCAGGTGTGACTTCGGAAGCCCTCAGCCTGGAGCCTGGCACATTTGGAGCAGCGTTTGCTACTGTCATCAATTATGTTCTCTCTGATGACGGCAAAGGGCATAGGATCCGTTCTGTAGGAGCTTGAGGAAGTCTGGAACACCCAGAACCTCATCTCCCGCATCTGGAGGTGGACGCTAAAACGCTTTGCCTATTTTGCAAGTGTGTTGCCAGTTGCCAGGATCTTAGCAAGTATTGGGTATAGACTTCTGGAAAGTAGCCACCCCTTCTTTGGAGCTTATGATGCAGGAGGCGCACGGCTAAGGTTGTGCAATCACTCGGGAGGTGGCTACTGGCGACTTGGTTTGGGACGGCCTCCTTTTGGGAAGGGTCATCTTCCTAAAGCCTGAATTCCCCGCCAACTGACCCTCCTTCGGTCCCGCTGGGGTGGAGCCCAGAGAAGGTTCGGACTTGGCCTTCTCTGCAGCCAGTTCCTGGCCCTTAGACTGACACACCCAATGTGCCGAGCAAAGGCAGGCTGCCACGTTCTTTCGGTCTCTAGAGATCCAGAGGCCACGCACGGTAAAACCAAGGGGTGTTCACCGAAGTGTGGCCCTAGGGAGCACATCGGACTCCCTCAGCGGCCGGGCTGGGCCCGATCCTACCCGCAGTGGGTCCCATTCCAGCGACCTGACATCTTAAAATGCCCTCGGTATGTCCTCAGAGAAGAGGAATCACATCCTGGAGGAGCAATCAAGGCTGCCTTCTCAGAGGAGGCGGCCTCTGGGGGAACAGAAAAGAAGGCGGGTGTGTTGGAATCGGCAGTGGGCTCTGAGAGGCCGGGGGCTTCTTCACCTCGCTAGCCCCAGCGCCCTGCAAACGCCCGTGGGAACGGGCGCTCAACACTGACTCGCTCCGTGAACAAATGACAGCCCGGGAACCCAGCCAGGCTCTCTGCGCACGTCCCTCTACCCCGCCCACGGAGACGCACGCGCATGCGCACTCCATGCCCTTCACACCAGGCCTCCGCGGCGACGCCCCGCCCCCCTTGCGGTCAGTACGCAGGCGCGGGGAGAGTGCGCGGGCGGATGACGTCACTCCGCGCCGACTCCGCCTCTGGAGGCGTCGCTCGCCGACCGCGTCGTCATGGAGCTGAGGACCGGTGAGGGACTGCTGGAGACGCGGGCGGGACCCACCAGAGGGGCAGGCGTGGGGGCGAATGAGGGGCCACCGGACGGGCACGGGGCGGGCGGGTGAGGGGCCGCCGGGTCACCCACTGTCCGAGTGGGGAGTAGGTGAGCGGCCGCCGGGAGACCACCGGAGAGGCGCGCGGGGCCAGAGGGGATGGGCCGGGGACCACCGGAGAGACGGGGGCACCCGGAGGGGTCCCAGCGGGGCGTGGGGGGGTCTACCCGGCGGTGGTCTCCGACCCTGATATCCGACGCTGTCTTGCGGAGTAAAGATAATGGGGAGAAGAGAGAGAGGGCTACTTGCTGTGCACCTGGTGGTGTCGGTGGGCCCCGTGCCGGTCGTAACTACCACCTGTGAGAGCTGCGCTTACGGCTCACCGGAAACCAATTTAACTTGGTTTCCAGGGGCAGGGGCGCGGCTGCAAAGCAATGTATCTTAAACGCCGGTTCGCAGCGTCCTCTTAGGGGCGCCTGGGGGGCTCAGTCGGCTCGATTTCGGCTCAGGTCACGATCTCACAGTTCATGGGTTCAAGCCCCCCTTTCCGCGCTGACAGCACGGAACCCGCTGGGGATTCTCTCTCTCTCCCTCTGCCCCTCCCCCCCGCCCCCCACAAGTAAACGTAAAAAAAAAAAATCACCGCCCTCTTAAATGTTTTCTGAGGTGTCACTGTACCAGGCCCTGTCCAGGCACTGGGGACACTTGCTTCATTAACCCCTGGGCTCCTCTAGTGGAGAAGAGCTTTGGTGATGGTTGCAGGGTTTCTTGGCAAAGATAACACCCAATACTAAAGCCCACAGTGAGCCAGGGTCTGGAATAAATAAACCTCTGCTCTTCCCAGGTGTGCAGTATGTAAAGAGCCCAGTAAACAGGTGCCGGTAGTTCACATGCCTGCCAAGTGCGGGGACTGAGCTCAGAGCCAGAGGTAGAGGATGAGTGAGACCCTAGCTCACCCGACGGGGCCCACAACCTGTTGAGGGGAGTGAATAGGCAGTTATGGAACAGGGTTCGGGCATGTCACACATAAATATGTGTCATCTTTTATTATCCTAATCATCTCCCATGTTTCTGTAACCTTCCACATGTAGGAGGACCTGTGCCCTTCCAGGCTCCCTGCACCTCCCAACCAGCCCATTGCTTTCTAAATGGGAGTCACTCAGATGTTTGTGATGGACTCCCCAAAGCAAGGGTCACAATTTCTTATATTTCCTGTGTCCCACACCGCATCCTGCACGGTGTTGGGGATACTGTAGCACCTGTGGGTTGTTAGTGAAAGTGATAAGTGTAGTAATCTTATAGTTGTGCCAGTGTAATTGTGTTTGAAAAAACCAGACAGTTAGGGTGCTCCAAGTTCCTGAAGGAGGGACATCTGTCTGTGGCTGGGCCCTCGAAATACTTACAGGGGGATGTGGTGTGTCCCTGAAGGGAGAGGAGGTACCAAGTCCTGAGAGGCAGAGAGGTGGGCAGGTGTGTGGAACCAGGGACCAACAATGCTAGAGCCACGTTTTGAATCCAAAGTGAGGAATAGTGGGAGATGGGGCTGACGTGCGCAGCAAGGCTTTGCAGGCCAGAGCTCCTTGTGGCCCTGTGACAAAGAGATCCCCCAGACACTGGAGCAGAGTGGAAGGGGGCGGGCTTCCTGGAGGTGGTGCTGAAGCTGAGGCCTGAAGAGTGAGGGTCTGCCCAAGGGACACAGAGCTGAGCCAACTTGCCAACAGAGCTCCCGGCGGGAAAGACAAGCCAAGTGCTGGAAACTGGCTGTGTGGCCCCACCCAGGCTGACAGCAGCGTGAGCTCAGCCTGCGTCTTATAGACGCGGGTCCCGAAGTGCTCCCACAGCTGCAGCGCCGATTTCTGGAGCGGCCCAGAGGCACAGCTAGGGTCACGAGGCACCAGCGGCGTCTGCAGTGGCCCCAAGAGGCTCTGGGACTGGGCCGAATGCCGCGCTGGGGAGTTCTAGGCCTAGCCAGACGGTGTAGGCTAGTGGAAGCCTGTGGCTGTGGCCCTTACCCCTTAGAACTACACGTGGGGGGTTAACACGTGCGGGCAAAATGGGCAGCGGGTGGCGAAGTGCACGTCAGTAACCGAAGGTTGGAAACCACCCGTTGCCCTTCAGAAGGAGACTGTCTGGGTAAATTTTGACCTGTCCCTAGAGTGGAAAACTGTGCGGCTTCCCATGAGGACAGCGGCGCTCTTGTATACCACATGGGCCCATCTGCCAGATGTCTGGCAAAAACACCAATGTGCGGGGCAGTGTGGGCTGTCTGCGTGATGCGCCGCCTTAGGAAGAGGTGGTGACAGGAAGTGTCTCCTGTGTGGGGCCAGACGTACCTGGGAAGGATTCAGGAGAAAAACAAGGGGTGCACTGACCGCCCTGGGGGAAGGGAGCTGGTAGCCAGCAGGCGGCCAGGGGAGGGGCTTGTCAGTATAGCCCCTTTGCCTGTGTTGAGAGTGTCCAGTTATGAAAGATAAACTTTTGGAGTGTGACTGATTGACATGAATCAAAGCCACACTGTTCAGAAATGTCTGTGGGGGGAAGCCAGCTGCCAGCCCCATCCCACCACCCATCCAGGCAACTCCAGTTCTCTCTGATCCTGGGCTGCTCCCTTGGGTCGCTTCTCAATAGCCTGCACTCATTTAAGGGAGACTCGGGACCCGTGAAGTTGTACCTGCCCCAGGTATGCACCCAGGAAGGTGACGAGAGGTGTCCCAGCCACACACAGTACTGTAGCACCTCCTGTCAGCTGTAAGGGACACCATCTAAGTTCTCTGAAAAGAAGAGGTCGGCTTTCACTGCCAGCTACAGCGATGCATGTTCCCTAAACACCATGCATGTGTGTCCCTGCGGCGACTTTCAGACGGCACAGGATAGGAAGCACTCGCCCTCGTTGGGAGTTAGGGCAGGTTGGTGTTGAGAGCATACCCGCGCATGAGATGACCTCATGGGGCGTCCCCTGCCTCATGATTCGCAGTGCTGGCCGCACAACAAATTGTTAGGAAAACAGACAACGGAGCACCTGAGTGGCTCAGGTCATGATCTCGCGGTTCGTGGGTTCGAGCCCTGCGTCAGGCTCTGTGCTGACAGCTCAGAGCCTGGAGCCTGCTTCAGATATAGTGTCCCTCTCTCCCTCTGTACCTCCCCCTGCTCACTCTCTGTATCTCTCTCAAAAATAAATACTAAAGAAAAGAAAACAGATCAAGTAGCAAGTAAAGTGACTTGAAACAGACTTCTGAGCAAGTGCGAGGATATCCTTTTGGACCAACAAAAATGGAAATTAAGTGAATACTTAAAAATATGCCTATAGGAAGGTGCTGGTACCTAACCGGAGACTGCTCCTTATGGTTCTTAACTCTTAGGAAGAGTACGTGGTTAATGCAAATTTCATCAACACTGCTCTGCTCAAATAAAGATTATTTGTTGCCAAAAATGCACCTTCCTAAATTGGATATAGAAAAAAGAAATTCCTACGCTAATAAAGGAGGTTGTAATTGGTAATCCAAAATAATAGGTTTACAAAGCACTTAGGTTTAAGACAAGCTTTCTGGATTTACAGCCCGAGCGCACTAATCACGGCCATGGCAAAGCTGGACAGACTGAGGATTGCAGTGCCTTGACCCAGCGGCACGCGCATTTCCAAGCGAGGACAGGGCGTGGGGCTTGGATTGCGTTTTGTTTTCAGCAGGGCCGGATTTAACACCTGGGTTGTCTTGAGTTTACTCTGTTTTCGGACGTTACCAATCTGTTGCAACTTCATCACTAACCCTGATTTTTCGCTGTGCAGATGAGAAGCGCCGGCTTGGCCTGGCGCGAGTGTGCTGGAGCGGCCGCACCTCTGCGGGACTCCCTTCTGCCGCGTTAACCCCCCCCACCCTCTGTTGCCATAGGTGTTTCCAAACAGGACATTCGCGAACAGATCTGGGACTACATGGAATCACGAAACTTAGCGGATTTTCCCCGGCCTGTTCATCACAGGATTCCCAACTTCAAGGTACTGAAGCCTTCCCGGAGCATTCAGAAGGAAAACAGGAGAGTCCCGAGTGAGCGAGATAGTCATGCGGTCACTGTCCTGCCTCGTGGTGGATCCGAGTGGGGTGGACAGTGAGTAGTGGTGCGAAGTCCGTGCCGCTGGCCTGGCCTCTGGTTTGAGACGCCCCTCATCCCAGTCACTTAAGCTTCGCTCTCGCGGCCGCTGGCCCTTCTGCGCGGGGTCGGCGGTTGGTGGCATCTTGTCACGAGCTGATGCTACGGGGCCTGTTCACCCCTTGACAGGGAGTAAGACGCTTGTCCTGGCTGCAAGCATGTCATTGTGGTGCCTTTTCACACACTGCTCCTTAAGAGCAGCAGCGAGTGATGCGCTCTGAGAGGGGAGCCCCAGCCAGTTTCTTTGGAGAGGAAGGCCTCAGCAGCCCCCGGTGATGCCAGGCCTCAGTTTCCCCGTGTGCAGAATAGAAGCTAATCCGAGATGCCTGTGTGTGGTAGCGTTCACAGGAAACAAGTTTACTTGGACGGGCAAACGTACACAGCTCATAGTTTTGGCTCCTTTTCCACAAGAAAGACAAAGCGCTTTTTGAAAACACACCGATGCCCCGTCAGCCCAAAGCATGTGTGGCCGTTTCCTGCCGTCATCCTCCATTTTGGCTGGACCTTGTCTCCCCACCCCCGGCCTCTTGGAAACAAGCCCCTGTTGCTTCGAAAACCCGTGCTGTTTGCATGATTTGTGTTTTGCTGCTTTGTTTTGTTTTAGTGCTTGTTTTCCCAGGGAGAGAAATTGCCGTGAGGTGCAGGAGAAAGAGAAAGGTGCCCAGATTCAGTAAAAAATGTTTAAAAAGGAAGCAACTTGGAGAGTTGGTGGTAATCCGCTCTTTTTTGGTTTAGGCAGTAGTAAACACAGGCGTGTTCGTTTTGTGAAAATTCATCAAACTGTACACAATGTCTACGCCTTTTTGGAATGTATATCTTATTTCAGTTAAAAATAAACTGGGGATGGGGCGCCTGGGTGGTTCAGCGTCTGGCTCTTGGTTTCCACTCAGGTCATGATCTCACCGTTCGTGGGATCGAGCCCCACGTTGGCTCTGCGCTGACAGGGCAGAGCCTGCTTGGGTTTCCCGCTCTCCCTCTCTCTCTCTGCCCCTCCCCTGTGGCACACGCTTTCTCTCTCTCTTTTACTCTCTCTGTCTTTGAAAATAAACATTAAAAAAATAAAAATAAATAAATCGGGGTAAGGCTGGCTTTTTTAGCTCCTTTCTACACTGACTGCTTTCCCAGACTTTTCTCTGGGCGACTCCTGGATATTGCCTGAGAATTAGTG